TTCACTGTTAGACCTACCTGAACACTCTGCAGGGCTAATAAAATCGGCGATGAAGACTATTCCTCTCACACCCCATATTAGCTAGGGTCTAGGGTCCTGTCCAACATTCTAAACCACTCCCCATATGTACCTCCAAAACCACCTAGGGTTTCCAATTCACCTACAAAAACAACCTCAGCCAGTCCTTCCCCTAACCTCATGACCATTCCCCACCCCCACTTCCCCCTCGTTCAACACCCAAAACCTCTGCCTCAGCCCACCCCGGCCCTAACCCATCACCAAAAACCTTGATCTTGATCTTATGTTCATGGCTGAAACTTGGCTTGACCAAAACTCAGGAAATGCAGTTTTAATAGAAGCATCACCACCAAATTTCAAATTTGAATCTGAAATAAGGGAAAACAAAAAAGGAGAAGGCTTAGCTGCCATTTTTAGAGACCACTTTGTCTCCCATAGAATGTCTCTTGGGAAGTTTTCGTCATTTGAATATGTGTCTTTTAAAATACAACAAAAACAATCTCCAATACTCTTCATTGTCCTATACAAGCCACCGCAGTCATGTCACAGTTTTATTGATAATTTTACAGAGTTGCTTTCAGTTGTATGCACAGATTTTGATAGTTTGGTTATTACAGGTGATTTTAATATTCATGTGGATAATGTTGATGACAGAAATGCAAATGAGCTGATTTCTGTACTTGAATCCTTTGATCTCACTCAGCACGTAAGTGGCCCCACCCACAGCAGAGGGCACACTCTAGATCTGTTAGTTACTAAGGGGGTGAATATTTCAAATGTAAACGTGGTCGATGTTGCTCTTTCGGATCATTTCTGTGTTTTTTTGCCATATGTTTTACTAACAAACCACCAGTGGACTCTGCAACTGTTCGAAGAAGGCGCATAAATGAAAATACGAGTAAACTATTTATGGGAATGATAAACTTTGAGAATGCATCGTATTCTACTGTAGATGAACTGTTTAACTCTGTCACCTCTAGTGTTTTGAATGTTCTGGATACCGTTGCCCCTGTGAAGGTTAAAATAGTGAAAAATAAGCAGAAGGCGCCGTGGGCTAAAGCAGACTCGGTCAGGGCACAAAAGAGAAAGTGCCGGAGGGCCGAGCGGAAGTGGCGCAAGTCCAACCTCCAGGTTGATTACGAGATCTTCAAAGATAAGTTGTGCGAGTTTAACCGAGTGCTACGTAGTACGAGAGAAAGGTATTTTTCTGAAATGATTGAAGGCTGCAGCAACAATCTGCGTGCTCTGTTCTCAACAGTTAATAGATTAACAAACCCCCCTGTTCAGATGCCGTTAGAGCTTACTTCCAAACGTAAATGCAATGAGTTTGCTAATTTTTTCAATGACAAGGTTCAAGGCATCAAAAACGCCATTGTCTCCAATCCACAGATAACCATCCAACAGCCAAAAAGGCTCTCTGAGCTAACTCACTTTGCACCTGTAAATGATAAAACTGTCCTAGAGATAATCTCCAGTCTGAGCTCCTCCACATGCAGCTTGGATGTACTACCCACTAGATTTCTGAAGTCTGTTCTGAGCAGTCTGTTACCTTCACTCACACAGATAGTAAACATGTCCCTTCATTCTGGAATATTCCCAAAGGCCCTGAAAACTGCAGTCATCAGGCCCCTGCTAAAAAAGAGCAGCCTGGATGCTACGGTACTTAACAACTATCGTCCCATCTCAAATCTGCGATTTATGGGGAAAGTCCTTCAGAAAGTTGTCTGCCTACAGCTTACTAGATTTCTTATAATCAACAACTCATTTGATATTTTTCAGTCCGGCTTTAGACCCCACCACAGCACTGAGACTGCTCTTGTTAAGGTTACAAACGATATCCGGCTGAACACTGACGCAGGCAAAGTCTGCCTTTGACACTGTCGACCATGAGATCCTCTTACAGAGATTAGAGGACTGGGTTGGCGTCGCTGGCACCGCCCTAAGTTGGTTTGGGTCTTACCTTGAGGACAGGAAGTACTTTGTGGAGATTGGAAACTGTCTCAGATCATATGGCCCTGACCTGTGGAGTACCACAGGGGTCGATCCTGGGACCTCTTCTGTTCAATCTCTACATGCTGCCGTTAGGTCAGTTAATACGCAGAAACAAAGTTTCCTATCATAACTATGCAGACGACACTCAGATCTATGTCTCACTGACTGCAGGAGAACATGGACCAGTGGACTCACTCCTTCACTGTATCCAACAGATCAGTGAGTGGATGCAAAACAACTTCCTTCAGCTAAACGCAGACAAAACTGAAATGATTGTCTTTGGTCCCCAGAAACAAAGAGAGAGCGTCATCTGTCATCTACAGTCTCTCTCCCTAAAACCTTCAAACAAGGTCAGAAATCTAGGGGTAATACTGGACTCAGACTTGAATTTTAATAGCCACATCAAATCAGTAACATCAGCAGCTTTTTACCATCTAAAAAACATTGCCAGGATCAAAAACATAGTGTCTAAAGCAGACCTGGAGATTCTTATCCATGCATTTGTCTCCAGTAGGTTAGACTACTGCAATGGCCTGCTCACAGGTCTGTCCAAACAGGCTGTAAAACAGCTGCAGTACATTCAAAATGCAGCAGCTCGAGTCCTGACTAGAACCAGGAAGTACGACCACATTAGTCCAGTTCTCAGGTCTCTGCACTGGCTTCCTGTGGCTCAGAGAATAGACTTTAAAACAGCTCTGCTTGTGTACAAGTCTCTCCATGGCCTCGCACCAAAATATATTAGTGACATGTTAGTCCCATTTGAACCAGCCCGGACTCTGAGGAGCACAGGGACTGGACTCCTGTTAGTGTCCAGAGTCAGAACTAAACATGGGGAGGCTGCTTTTCAGATTCATGCTGCTAAAATCTGGAACAGTCATTATCAGTGGCTTATTGTTAGTGGGATTTTGCTCTATGTCTATTCTACATTCTCAGGAATAAAACTGTGAACACAGAAAGACAAATGGTTAATATGAACATTATTATGGCGGTCAGTTTTCCAAATACATTTGCTGAACCAGGAAGTGCTGTCACTTCCTCCTCTCAGGCAGTTTGGGATGAATGTACATCATTAATCAAATCAAAGGAGGACGGGAATGCCTCTGTGACGGAAAAGCTCGCGAGACCTGCGCAAAGCAAGATGGCGGCACGCTGCTGCTAGACAACAACAAACTTTTCTATCTGCTCAAACCTCTAGCTTCTTTCCACGCCCTACTTCACTATCAATTCATCTTCTTTCTACAATATAACCGGACAGCCAAACCAACACCCTGGAAGATCTAGAACAATACATCGACCTACAATACAACCGATATGTCATGGATAACAACGCAGAGAACTCTTCGCCGGGTCCCAACATCAACGAGAAAAAACGCCAACGAATATCATCTTCACTCGCAAGTAGCCCCACTGACACAAACACACAGGCTGACACACAGCACCCCACATGCTGCCCTGACATCGCGGGGCTATTAGCTTCAATCGAGCTCAAACTCACCGGCTTGGACACTCGGATATCCATTGTAGAAATCATCCAGAGAGACTTCTCCGCACTCCGCCAAAGCTTAGAATTTAGCCAACAACAAATCGAAACACTGACCATAGAAAACCAGACCCTTAAAAACTCTGGCACATCACTAACGTCCCTCTGACAACCGGGCCATGAAAGAGAGCATCCTCGACCTGCAAACCCGCAGTATGAGGGAAAATCTGGTCTTTTCTGGCATTGCAGAGAAACCATCCGAGGACCCAGAAGAAACAATTAAGGACTTCATCACAACACAGCTCAAGCTCCCCATAGACACAGTTAACTAAATAACTTTCCACCGCGTACACCGCATCGGACCCCGACGAACGGACAACAAACGCCCACGGCCAATTGTAGCTAAATTTGAACATTTTAAACAAAAAACACTCGTACAACGACAGGGAAACCAGCTGAAAGGTACCAACTTTGGAGTAAGCGAACAATACCCTGAAGAAATATTACAACAACGCCAGGTCCTACACCCCATACGCAAGGATATGATCAAACAAGGACATAAGGCCATACTGGTAGTAGACAAACTGTACATAGATGGTCAACTGTACCGAAACAAGGACACTCACTGGATTTAACAAAGGAAAACAGTCCATAAATGCACTACTCCACAATGCTCACTCCTGCTCTTTCTCTCCTATTGCTCTCCCTCTTGCTTTCTAGCACTCAGATCTAACCAAACTAACGCATACCAATAACTTTAAAAACATATATTAATTGCGCTCCTTCGCAAATCTATATCAGGCTTGAAGAAAACACATTCAACCATGTGTAACTTCAAGCTGAAAGCCACCTCCTACCTCTGTGTCCCATCCTTTCCTTATGTGTCTCCCTCTCCCTCCCCCTCCCTTACATACACATGCTCCATTCACACATGCACACACACGCATCCACACACCAACATCTGCATTCAACCAACATCCCTACATATACATACATTGTCATGCTCTTGTAGCATATATGAGTAACGTTATGCCAGGGATAGGACAGTATAGGAAAAAATGGGTTCGTTGGACTAGATCAGAAGACTAGATACGGCTCTCTGGGAGGTGTGAGGAAAGTAATATTACACCCAAGAGACAGACTGGTTACCGGCGGGTGCCATGTATTTACAGTGAAAAACAAACAACATTTAGTGCAAATATATATACAGTTCTGCAGATCAACAACACAACAATACAGCAGCAGTACTTTTAAAAATGTCCAGGATGGTTCCCAACCATGGGTCACAGGTCGTGACAGAATCACACACACACTAAACCGGGTACTGGGGTGCCACAACGATGTGGGCTTGAATGTTCATTGTTATGGAGTGTCCTTGTATTGATAATCCAACGGTTATTGCAACAGGTGTGTGTGGATGAGTGTGGGAGTGGACGGACTGCAACAGCCTCCTACCCTGACCGCAGGAGGATGTTGGTTGACAGGTTCTGGGTCTAGCTCGCCATCAGATTCAGGGTGGTGTCTTACCCAGACACAAAAATGGCCTGCATTAAAACAACAGGACTATGTTTTAACAAAATCATTCAGTAGCTAGCTCATAATTTAGCACAGTGTACACATGATCAACACATTAAATGGCATTAGGAAATAAGTTTCCTCTTCATTAGGCAATGTATAAATACATAGACAGTCTCAAAGTGCATAGCATTCAATGTAGACAGTAACAACTACAACAATATATGACACTCAAAATACTCAATAGGATATAAATCAGATTATCCGATTCATGAAACATTATGGTCATAACAATACACTAGTGCATCAAAATGACAATGCTACATCTGGTGGCTACCACAGATGCTAAGTAGTAAACAACAGCTTCAAACTCACCAATTCCCCCTTATAATGAATGCCCAACGGTTGTTTCGAATGTGAAGCGATGGTGGGGCTCCTACAAAAGCAATACATGAATGTCTGGCATGGATGCCTTCATATAAGCAAGAATTAGCATTTGAAGTTTCGCTGAAGTTTACCTGTGCAGCTGTCCGGTTGCGTCTCCCTCCCGTGTGTGACAGGGAGAAGCGCAAGCGGCTTGTATCACGCGCTACGGCCAATGTGATTGGCTGAGGCAGTTCTCGCGATAGTGAACAGGAGCGCAGAGAATTAAATATATTAAAAGTTTTATTTTTACACAGAACCCATTTTTAATGTGGGTTACATCCTCATTAAAATTTATTTCCTGGAATGTTAGAGGCTTGGGCTCTCAGGAAAAAAGAATAAAAATACTTACCAAGATTACAAAACTTGCAGATATCTGCCTGCTACAAGAAACTCACCTTTCCCCATCTGATGCATCCAAACTGATTCATAGCCAATTTCACCAACCATTCTCTTCCTGTTACAACACCAAACAAAGAGGGGTCTCTAAACACATAATCTTCACACATAATTCCACAATGTCTGACCCAGAAGGACGTTTTATTATTATTAATATATCCATTAACAATAAACCCTTAACAATATGCAACATATATGGACCCAACACAGACAATCCAGACTTCTTCCGGTCAATCTTCACAATTCTAATTAAACAGTTTGATATACCTTACATCATAGGAGGAGATTTCAATACCACTATTAGCTCTTCAATCGACAGGAGCACCAATCCGACCCGCATCCACCAATCCTCAAATGTAATAAACCAGTTCATGAAGGATCTTGGTCTTGGCGATGGCTGGAGGCTCCAACACCCATCTACACGAGAATACACATTCTACTCTCCTGTCCATAAATCATATTCTAGAATAGACTACTTCCTTTTCAGCAAATCACTTCTGGCGAATATCACAGACACAAAAATCCATCCCATTATAATCAGTGACCACTGCAGTAATTTGTCAGAATTCCCCTGCCCCAGAAGCTGCAGACAGGCCGCACAGCCCGTTTCGTTCTGCAGGTCCTTTTAGTTCAACAAGAGACAAAACCAATGTTAAAACAGTAATAGAAATGACAGATACCAAACCTGATTTCAAAGGTTTATATTGAAGATTTGCAAGCAATATTACAAGATTTACACGGTCTGCGAACAGGTCTCGCTTCGCGTTCAAGATAAGGGGTGGCCTCGGGTCTCTCTCTGCTCCTGATCAGGAGAAAAAGAAAAAAGCCCCCGTGACCGCTCCTGCACATCACTTATACTTTACATCCAAGGTCACTTGACATCACAACTGTATGGACCCTATGACTCCTTCTGGCCCGCTGCCAAAGCCTGCACCTGCTCTGATAAAACACTTGTTTTCTTCCATTCTCACACAGACTAACCTTGACCTAACTGCTCTTTGAGATTTACACAAACAAGTGCTGTATAAACCTAATAATTTCTGACGTTTAAGTTGTTTAAGTATTAATTTAGCAACAGAAACAATACTAAACTGATTTTAGTTTTAACTGGTGCAGGCGGCCTATAATATTCCAACAGTCCCCCTGTTGGCCGGAGAGGAACTCTTCGGACATCCATCACTCTCGTCTCAGATGGCCCATCTTCATCAGTTGATCCAGCATTACATCCTATACTCAGTCTAATCCCAGTCTTCACGACGATCTGTGAACTCCTAAACCACCCCATGTGACATTATGAAAAATGTGGTGGTCTTCCACTCAGCCCTTACTTCAGACCCGCCCCAAAGGCCTCTGGGCGGACTGAGCATCCAACTCACCCTAAACTACATACATTGAAGTGATCCTATAAAACCTATATGTGGGTGTGCTGCGGTGTCTAGTCTGTGTAACAAAAACAATAGTTGCAAGAGCTGTGGAGAAAGAATATGTTTGTGTCGTGCATCAATTTGAATTATGTAATTTTTTATTTTAATTTTTAATTTTTATAATTTTTTATCGCATCCCCGATTTTCCCAAGTCCCTCTTACAATTTTGCAAGGTTATGTGCGTTATTTACATGCAAGCAGTTATACATTTTTGATTAAAATATTTTGATAATATCATAAAGCATACTCACAACTCCTCTGGTGATGTTCTGACAATATCACAGACCATACTCACCCGTTCTTCTGATGATTGTCCTTTATGGCTTAGGCTATGGTCATCAATTCTTCTGGTTCCCACTGTAGGTCCTGGGTTAGTAGCAGTTGTCTTTCTGCCACCTTCCCTTCCACAGCGGCTGTTATCACTCTGTTACATAAGGATCGTATGCACGGAATACAACAGCATCCGCATAGCGTCAGGATTTCTGCAAATACAGCCACCGATAGTAGAGTTGATGCTATCAGTGCCTTATATCTGCCAAACACATCCAACCACCCATCCCACATTGATTGGTCTACTCCTGAATGTGCCTTCATTTCTTGGGATAGCGCCTTCAGTCCCTGAAGGGCCCTTGTTAATTTTCCATTTGGGGCAGTATTATTTGGGATAAACGTACAACACGTAGGGCCAATCAATGAACAGGCTCCGCCTTCTTTGGCTAAAATCATGTCAACAGCAAGTCTGTTCTGGAAGGTCATTAAGGATGTGGCTGATAATTGTTCATGAATTGCCTCAAATCCATCATATGTATAATTGCTTAGCCTCTGTATGTTGTAATGTAAGTAGTTGATCCAATCGACGTTCTTATTTGGGGTTACTGGAAAAATTGCAGAGATTATTGGGATGTTTTCAAATCCTGATGCAATTTCATCAACCAATTTGTATTCATTTGGAATTCCCCTAGGAATACCTATTGCATCAATATAAACTGGACTTCCCTCCTCTGGTCTAGCCAGTGCCCTTCTTGATCTGGTTTTTACACTAATGATTTGTTTCAAAATCTCTGGCTTCTCTAGATCCACTGGAGCTATTTCAATTGGTATGAGTAATGAGATCAACACACACATGCCATCCCACAGAGGGTGTAGATATCCTCTTAAAGACTTGCCACCACAATACCACCACACATCTGCTCTGGCTACTGTCAACTTGTGTCCATTTAATTTTTCTGTGAAATCCTCATACCTAATGCATAAGGATCTATTTACATGTCCTACTTCCCTTTTTTCTCCACTAAGGACCTTCCTAATGACGCAGGTGTATTCACCTTTTACTTGTGAATTAAAAATTGGTGGTGTCGCATTTGTGGCAGTTACCGGATATATTTTATCATATAGTGAACAGTTAGGGTATAGGTTATCTCTCATCATAATCTCTACTAAACATGTATGATTGTCCCTATCTACTACAGTCGGTACTGCATGTAACATAGGCCTTGGTCCCATACAAGCAATACATTGACTTAGTTGTGTAGCTTTTGCAGCTTGCTCAATCATAAATAGCCAATTATTTTTTGTAGCTGTTATTCCTGTCTCCATTCTGAAAACATCATCTGCGTGTAAGAGAGTTGCATTATATACCATTACTAGATTTGTGTTACCTACATGTCCTACGTTAAGCCCCCCTTCTCTTGTGACACTGACTGGATCTTCACATATAGTAATTAATGCCCAAGGGTCTTCTCCTGGCACATATGCCCATACCAGAAACCCCCAACAAAACCATAGAGGTTTCTTCCCTGATCTGTCTCTTGGGTCCAATGACTCACCTCTCAAGTCCACTGTAATTGTAAGACATGGTACACTTCCCTGCATAATCCCCTTTGTCATGGAAATTATTTTAGAATGGTGTCTTGCAAACTCTGTAGTTGGTGTTGGTGTCCAATCTGATCCAGTATATGCCACCATTGTCCCCCATGATTTATCTCTCATGTCATTTGTCATGTACCATTCATAATCTGAATTTTCTGCTCCCACTTTTTTCCCTTTGTTTACTAATGCTATAAAAGGTACCTGGAATGCCATATGTTCTCCCTTTGCTAAACACAATTGCACCCCAAATAGGTATTGTCGCTTTTTTGCACATGCTCCCAGTTTATCCAATTCCCTTTTTGGGGTTAATCTCAATTCTCTTTTCTACCCCTACCCCTTCCCCTTCCCCTTGCCCTCGCCCTTCCCCTACGGCTTAAAAGCGAGTGGTGAGGCAAAGGGCTATGTCTTCAACACTACGAAATGGGACACCCCTCGCTCCGTCTCATTATTATGACGTAATCCCTTACGCGCCTCTAAAACAGTGGAGTTGCGGATGTTGTTCATTCATTTCTTTACTTTTCCAGTGTAGACATGCCGTCTGAAGCTCAACTTGCAGCAGTTGCTTGTTTGCTTTGTTTGTTTTTTCGCCTCACCACGTCAAGGCGAAGAAATGTTCGGAGACGTGGATTTCTACGCCGACTCGCAGTTATGTCTGAGAATTACGTGGTATGTATTGTGTTTGTGTATTGACCGTGTACGCTGATCTTAAAACTATTCACTCTTATTTACTAAAGAGTGAGTTCAAATACATTAGGAGATAAAACACGTTGAATGGTGTTATGTGTGTTGTAAACAGTCAAGTATTTTCTGACCACACAACTGTAAGATAATATTGTTTTACAGTTATGTGTGGAGGTTTCCTGTAACTGGGGGGAGGGGGAGTACCTGTGTGTGAGTTGGGGGAGGATTGTACTTGCATTTTTGTGTTATATAGGCCTATATCTAAAAGTGACTACAAATTTATGTATTTTATGTATGTACCTTTGCAGAGAGGACAACCAGCAAGATATTGCCAGCTTAACAACGATGTCCCCATTTTGAGGCTCTGGTTCAATGTAGAGCGGGAGCTGAAGCAAGATTTTCGTCTCACTAGACGAGCGATGAACAATCTGCAGAGACTCCTGCAAAGAGACCAGGACCATGGCTGGGGACACCAACTGGAAGTACTGATCTATACATACTGGTTGGCTCACGGTTTGTCCTACTGCGTCGTCTCCAGTGTTTTCAATGTGCCTAAAGCAACTGTTCATAGGGTGGTGCACAGGGTGGCAAACTTCATTTGCAGAAATCTGCCACGAGCAATCAGTTTCCCTAAACCAGATGAGCTTGAAGAAATAGGACAAGGATTTGCCAGGATATCCGGAAGTCCTGCCTTCAGCTGTGTTGCTGGTGCAATCGATGGTTCCCATATTAGAATCAAGCCCCCACACCGGCACCACATGGACTATTTAAATTACAAGGGGTTCCATTCTATAAACATGATGGCAATCTGTGATGCAACTGGCCGTTTCCTGGACATATTTGTTGCATACCCGGGCTCTGTGCATGACACCAGAGTGATGAAAAATAGCACCTTTTACAGAGCCCAAAGATATCCCCCTCCAGGATACATTCTTCTTGGGGACGGAGGCTACCCCTGTTTTGAGACTCCCATTACACTAATCACGCCATACAAGGAGCCTGTACATGACAATGCTGAAAGACGTTTTAACTTTCATCATTCTAAGGCACGGAGCATAATAGAAAGAGCCTTTGGAGTGATGAAGACGAGGTGGAGGTCCACACTTTTTAGAGCTCTGGAGGTGAAGCCTACATTTGTGCCGCTGGTTGTATCCACGTGTGCCTTCCTTCATAATGTTTGCCTGGCTAATGGGGACCAGCTAGAGCCGGACAATGACATTTTAGCAGATGCATTTGACCCTCAGCCTCCACAGGAACGTCTCCTCCATAATGAAACCCCTGGCAACGCTACAAGAGACAGGCTGGCTGCCATTTTGGGCAATGCACAGTGATACTATTTTAGAGTTTGTACATAGTTGATGTGTATAACAATTTTATATTTTTGCGACCTTGTGCTGTGCAATATATACCGTTTGAAAAAAACTTGTGTGAAATAAAAACTTTAAAAAGATTTTAGAAAATATTTTGTTTACTTTATCAAAAAGTATAGTGTAAACACTTGAATGAACATTAAAGCAAAAATAAAAATAACAGGCTGTGCAAATCTAAAAAAAACAGTCTGAGGTAGAATTACAATTTAAAATAAATAAAAACATTCAAAATCAAACCTTGAAGTCTAACAAGTGCACAAATGTAAACAATTGTCCTTTTTACATTTTGTCCACCAGCTGCTGTGAAACAGCCCGAGGAATCTTTCTGACTTTTCCTCGCTCTCCTCATGCCTCTTCTGCTCTTTTGTAGATTCTTCTTTTAAAAACTCTACAATTGCACTTGATTTCCTTTTTCTTTTACGGGGAGAGGGAGATGCAGCAGGAGGAGCTGGAGGTGGAGCAGATGATGCTGTGGGTTGGGACTCATCCTGATTTGCAGTAGATGAGGATGGTGCAGCTGCAGAGGTGCTGGGCTCCTCAATTTCCTATAAAAATATGCAACATATTATTGGTAACATCATTACAAAATACTACTGCATTTATAATAAATTACCAGCACTATGGTTGTGTTGTCATCCTCCAGGAATGAGGCCACAACAACAGGAGGATCCACCGATGGTCTGGAGCCCAGCACCTCATGCATATCCTCAAAGTATTGCCAATCAGCAGCAGTTTTCTCCCCCTCCTCAGTACCTCCTTTGCCTGTTTTCAGGAGTTTTAACTCCTGGCACACACACAAAAATAATGCCATAAACTTTAATATTACGTTGTGTCTTCATAGAGTATGTAGAGGTATTGTATTTCTTACCTTATATTTCCTTTTTAAGTTTTCCCACTTTTTGGAAGCCTTATCTGGACGAACTATCCCCTCCAGCCCGTTCTCCTTTAAAAAGATCCTAAACAAAAGTAACCAATGATAAATGTCATGCAATTAATTTATTATTACTGTGAAATACATGCATAAAATAACGTACTCCCATTGTTTTTTGGCGCTATATCTGGACTTTAAAAACTTCTCCTCGTTTTCAGCTCTGAAACGTATGAGTTTCCGCGTGAGCTCAGGGGACCCTGTTGAAAAGACACACGTATTAAAAGCTCACGATACAACAGAAATGAGAATGATAACGCTATAATCGTAGTTATATTAGTTTATATGACAAGTTTCGTTATGCTCCGAGTCCGTAACAACAACAGCGCGATTGACATGCGTCTGACAAGCTACATTCTGCCGTAATATGTACATTTCAAACTTATCATCAAAACAAAACACGTTCTTATAGTTTATTTAACGTTAAAATTAGCAAAACATGCTTACATTTGTACGAGTCGGTCGGCGCCATGTTTTCTTGGTGCGGGTCAGCACGAAACTCCTCCTACCCCTTCGTCTGAAGTGTGCATCTGAAAAACCCTCGCTGGAAGGGCTATGTGGCCCTCTCCCTCACCCCTACCCCTCACCGCTAAATAGAATTGGGACAGCCCTTCGTCTCTCGTGAACGCGCACAACGAAGGGAAAGGGCTAAGCGGAGGGCTAAGGGGGAGAATTGAGATTGGGCCTTGGTCTTATTTTTATCCCTGTCCCCTTTGTAGGTTGAACTTTGCGTTCTTTCATCTGTTTGCCGGGTAAAATGTCTGAATAATCAGGAATTGACACCAAGAGTTTTCTCCTTACCATAGACAGTTTTTGGTTTTGCATACCCCTGGCCTAACTCTGTTTCCCAGGCCCACATAAAAAATCCAGCTATAATCCCTATACCTACCACCATACTCACCCACTCTCGTGTCCTCAACCCTAATGGGGCTTTCAGACCGAAAACGCTGAAACGCTGAAGCCCCGCTCACCAGACGCGCATTCTCTAGTTTTCAGACGCAGAGGTCTTCACACCAGAACGTCCTGACGCGAGCCGGAAGTACCGGAAGTAGCCGGCCAGCTCTGATGCTAACAGAGCTATGCTAGCGGCTTCTTGTGTACAGATCTTCTCCAATATGCAGCTTTGCAGCGTGTCTTTGCTCACAGACATTACACGGGCTTTATATAACAGTAGTATGTGTTCACGGAGGTGCGCCATGCGGTTTTCATATTATTAAACGGAATTTCCGCATCGGCGAACACACTCGAAGCAGTTGCATAAGGTCACGGGAGCATGACAACGCATATTTTCACAAGCACAGAGTCCCCCATTGTCAGCCCTGGTTTGAGTTCTGGTGAAGTCTGGTGTGGGTCCTGTTTTGGCTGTTTATGAGTATTTTCAGTCTGCTCGCTCAGTCCGCTAATGTCCCCGTGACCACTTTGCTGCTCTCTGATTGGTTGTCGCACGAACGTCGCAAGGAAAGGATGAGCAGAATCCATCTCCTGTGGGCGTTGATTTTTCGCTCCTGCTCCTCCCTTTTCACTTTCCCGCCAAGTCCGTGCGTCATTATTGAACAGTCCGTTCGTGCGAACCGAGCGGTCTGTGCGTTGTGACGGTCGAACGCGCGCCACCATAGACTTTGCATTGAACGCAGACGCAACGACTGTCCCGGTCTGAAAGCACCATAAGAGTGTCCATGGTCCTATCATGTTGAGAGTACCTGCATGGTGAACACCTCAGTCTTAAAGTCTATCCCATGCATACCAGATTAGTGTTTTCAGCTTTGATTTGCTCAATTGCTCATCTAAATAGTTGATTCTGGATCATGAATTTTTTTTTTTTTTTTTTTATATAATCAATCAATAATTATAAAAATAATATTAATAATCAATCAATAAAAAAAAACAATAATAATCAATAATCAATCTTCCCCCTGTTTTATCACAATCCTGTGATAAATTAAACATCCCTTATAGGCCAATTTGTCACCCCCACCATTATCACTTATGTCGGATCCAAACCACGTCAGTTAAATGCACAGTCCCCTTGATCAGCCCAATCCATAAAGTCAGAGAAATTGCCAAATTCTTCAATAACCTGAAGTCCATTGACCATAATTTCAAACCCCTGAATCCCAAAATCTAAAATGGCAATATCCTGATATTCAACATCCTGAACCTCATCGCCCTGACCTTCAACAACCCAATCTCCAATGTCCAGGACCTCAAAACCCTGTCCTCCACCATCTCTAATGTCAAAATCCTGATATCCAGACTCCTGAACCTCAGCGCCCTGACCTTCAACAACCCAATCTCCAATGTCCAGGACCTCAAAACCCTGTCCTCCACCATCTCCAATGTCAAAATCCTGATATCCAGACTCCTGAACCTCAGGGGCCAGAACCTCAACCTCCCGATGTCCAAAGTCTGGAAGTCCAGAGCCCCAAAGTCCAAAATCCTCAACTCCCAACAGTTCCAGAAGGTCTCTCATACTATTGTCATCACTAGTCCCTATGCCATCAGACACTTGCACCACAGGGCTATCTGGAGAGACACTGTCAGGGATATCCTGGGCTGCTTGGTCCAACTGTTGATCCCGCTGTCCAGCATCGGACAGGCTTTCATTGAAGAAAGGGCCATCTCTCCGTGCGCCCATTTCAGCCCTGTATTTAGCAAGCCTTGCCTCGATCAATGCAAACACCTCCTCGTCAGTTAATGGGTCCTGAGGATCCCTCATAGCTGTATGGTGATGTCTCCTTTCTTATCAGACGCACTGGGACCTGTATAGAGAAGAATCTATATAACCAAAGGATTCTCCTTTGTCTAGTTCAATTCTATTAGTATTAATATATATATATATATATTGTTTTTTTTTTTTTTTTTTTTTTTTTACATACATATATATTGGGCAATTAATACATTTTTATGGTGATAATTCCTATTGGTTAAAACAGTAAGTATAGGTGCATTATAGGGTTGCTCCGCACTTCCCTAGAACTCCCCATGTTCTAACTAATAGAGTCAGACACTTCCCTCTCTGTCCCCCTGTCGGCCTCCTTTTCTGATGATGTAGTGATATCTCTCATTACATCAAGCAGGGATCTTTCTGGTGCACTAGTGGGCCTAGTGTGTGATATGTGCACAAATGATGACTCTGTAGTTTGTGAGTCGTCTAAGTAATATTTCAAAGTATACTCGTATAGTTTGGAGATTTTAAATGGGCCTTTCCAAGTTAGCTGATCCCAACAATGTTTCTGGTTTTTCACATAAATGTAGCCTCCAACTGTAAGTCTGTCTTTTACAGCCTGCAAAGGGGGCTCTGGAGATTTCTGGGTCAGCGTGACAATGTTATCTTGCAGAAACTTCACTGTAGTCACCAATGTTTTCATATAAGTTTCCCTAGCATCATCAGTGGCTGCTGGAGGTGGTAGCTCCAGTGAACGAGATAAGTTACTGGGCATGTGTCTCCCATACATCAGTTGGAATGGTGACATAAAAATTGGCCTGCTTGGTTCTCCTCTTATTGCCATCAAGGCTATAGGCAGTGCCTGTTTCCAATTCATTTTTCCAGACCTACACATGTGTGCCAATCTGTTTTTCAGTGTCTGGTTGAACCTTTCAATCACCCCTTGTGATTGCGGGTGCAACACTGCTCCAAAATGCTGTTTTATATTTAGCCTCTCACATAGTTGGGTCATTGTCTGGTTCTTAAAATGCGAGCCGTTATCAGATCTGATAACTCTCGCAGGGCCGTACCTTGGAAAGATCTCTGTCAAGAATACTTTGGCTACTGATTCTGCATTTGCTTTTGCCAAAGGAAAAGCTTCAGGCCATCGTGTGAGTGGGTCAATCATTGTGAGCACGTATCTACACCCATCCGCTTTCTTATCAGCAGTCATGTCGATGAAATCAATTACGATTTCTGCCATGGGCCATGGAGGCACCGGGTATGCTCCTATGCCTGCCTTCACAGCCCTTGCCTTAGAGAGCCCTTGACATATGTCACATGAGTCACATAGATGCTGGATGGTTGGTAGCATAAAAGGATGGAACATGTGTTGTCTTAGTTCTGAAAAAAGTTTTGAGCACTTTATGTGTGTTTCCTCATGCTTACTTTGGATGATCTGTAGTAGTTTTTTAGTAGTCACGCACGGTTTACCAAATGTATCATAGAATACTCCTTCACTGTTTTTAATGGCCCCTGCAGTTTTCCATGCCGTCACATCATACAGTGAGGGATTTTCTTGCAATATGTGTGGACTGTTCTCTTCTCTTTCCTCTACTGGTGCCTCTGTTTCCTCAGGATTGTCTTCAATAACTGCCTGCACAGCCGTACCTATCCTGTCATACCCAGCTGTCATTTTAGCAACTCTATCAGCAAACTCATTGCCCCTTGCCACAAAGTCTCTGGCTCGAGTATGTGCTCTGCACTTGACCAATGCAGTTTTGTGACGTACATTCTTGATTTGATCTGCCACCTTCTGCCACAATTCCAAATGTGTAGGTCTCAAATTTTTTGTTGTGATGAAATTGTCATGCAATACCCAGATTGGCAAGTGCAAATGCACTGTAGAATGCACATACTCAGAGTCAGTATATATTGTGATAGGTCCTTCTGGCCTGTTCTCCAAAGCCAGGCTAAATGCTTCTAATTCTGCATACTGAGCTGACTTCCCTGCCAGCGCCTCTGCCTTCAGTATGTTAAAATCAGGATTGGTAACAGGTGATGTTTCCCTATCATGGATGACTGCTGCTGCGCTTGCAACCAATGCTCCAGTTTTGTCTCTATGCGAGTGTCCATCTATAAAAATAGCATGTGACCCCTCAATCTCTGACCTGCCCAACTTTTTGATCAAGTTTGTTTCTTCACTATGTTGGACCTCACACTGGTGAACTGGGCCTGAGATAGTAAATGGTAATATTGGAGAGTCTGTTGGTTCAAATGTAACTTGCATATTTACGAGTAACAGATGAATCTTTTGAGACATTGAATTTGTCAATGCAAATGTGTTCCCCTTCAAAGCTGCATACATGTTATGTGGTGTTCTCACTATCACCTCTGAGTCCAAGATTATGTGTGATGTGGAAACCAGTGAGTTCTTAAGGGCCATTACATAACGTGCACATGAGAAGTGGTGTGCTTCTGATCCTCTGAGATTGGAGCTGAATATGTACAATATTTTGGGTGCATCTGCTATTTTCTGAAACAACACTGCACAATAATAATCTCCAGTCATTGTGATTTCCATCATAATTGGGTATTTCCTATCAACGCAGTGTAAAGTCTGCACCATTGATAGTTTTTCTTTGATTGATTGAAATGCCTGTGCTTGCTCCTCAGTCCATGTCAAGATCCCATCATAATCTGTGTAGCCTACATCAGTCAACATTTTCTGCAAGGGCTTCATCATGTAGGAGAAGTTGAAAATATATTTCCTGATATAGCTTGCCGTATTTATGAAGGACATAATTTCTCTCACTGTTTTTGGTCTG